CCATATTTGATGCATCTCGTCCTTGCCAGAAATATACAACACATTGGAAATCTTCAGGCTGACCCTCTGATATGTCTTCATTTCCTTCTTCATCATCAACAGGTACCCAATAACGACACAAGAATACATAACAATCTTTGCTATAAAATTGTCCTAATTCATCTTCAGGTAATCTCACAAATTTTTTCCCTTCCAAAACAAAAGATTCCATTTGATCTAAATCATCATTCCAGTCTTGCATTAGCTGTAATGCTTCGTTAAGCAACATAGGTGGTTGACGAGGAGTAAATAATGCTGCTAAATCATGCTAATAAAATAACATAAAACATTTTTATGACGATAATAAAAACACAAATTAATACTATTTGTAATAACTACTTTAGTTTCTTGTTTCATAGCCCATTTAGTAAGGTCTGCACCAGTTTTTTGAACAGATTCAGCAGTTCTAGTAAAATCTACTGCAATAACTTCTTCCCACCCAACAAATCTTATTTTAAAGATTTGAAGTTCATTTCCCTCTTGAATTCGCATTGTTAATGCATAATCTGGACGTTCAATCATAGAAAATAATTCTTGAGAGAGTTTAACAGCAGCTGCTCTCACCAACCGTGTTGACTTTTTTCCAAACCTTTAGGTTAAATATATAAAATAACTTTAAATTATATAAATTATATGCATTAATCATTGCAATCATGTTACCAAACGTATAAATCAGTAGACGAATCAAGAATATATACATTTTTAGAATTTAAAAGTGAATGCTCTAAAGTATTATGTAATATTTCAACTTGAGGTAGTTCTAAGTAGCCCATACCCAATTTCACTTGATATAAACGAGGACGTGGTGGTTCAAAATTTTCATCCACATTAGCCTAATACATAATTAAAATAATATATTTAGATAAATATGTTAATATATTTTTAATAAAAATAAAAATATATAATATTAAAAGACTTTAACACGGCCAAATGATGGTAAAAATATTACAATTTTATAATTTCAAGCAAATGACTAAGTAACATTATACTTGTTAAAACTAGAAAATRTTATTTTAAGAAACAAATACTACTTGCTTGAACATCAACAGACGAGTCAAATGTATCATCCATTTCTAATAAATCACGAAATTCTTTACTTTCTTCGCCAAATTCTTCAATAAATATTTCTGCACTATTTTTTCTTTCATTTTTGTTAATTTTTTCAGCCAATAATCTGTAGAAATGTATGGCTACACTTTGGATGAAACTAAATAATTGACTATTTAAACTATTTTACCTTGCTTTAGATTTAAGCGTGTTTTTTGCTTTAGAACCTTGCCATAGAAAAATTGATAAACCAGCATCCAAAATAAATACATATCCAATGTCCAAAGATGTATAACATAATTTGACTGGTTCTAAATGGACAGAAGTACCATGAGCATGTACTCTAAACATGCGTGTAAAATAAGTCTACAAATAAATATAGAGAAATACATTTAATAWACGTTTAAATTATTAAATAATTAAAATGAGACAACATACAATATCTTCAACTGTGTAAAATCCACTAGCAGTGCGACCTCCATCAATATAAACCAATGGTGAATCAAATAATGATAAAAACTCTTCTGACTCTTCACCTAATTCTTCACGTATAGTTCTACATTCAGCTCCCAAAAAGTTTCTTAAATTAACAGCATGTATAGCAGCACATGCTCGTTTATCAAGCTGTAAGTAGCAATTTCAAAAATTTATCAAATTTATCTTTTTTTAAATATTTTAAATTTTACTAACTGAAGCATTATCTCCAATCCAGAAAAAAATTTTCCAACATAAACTATCTGATGTAACATTAATAGTTGTGTGCAAAACAATATAACAATCTCCTCTATAAAGTTTTCCATAAGCTACTTCATCAACTAAGTTTGGCAAAAAGTTTTCTATTTCCCAAACACTAAGACCAGGAAGTCTACCAGTTCCTTCTTCAAATAATTCACCATAATCAACTGCGGGCTTTTCTAATCCTTCATCCCATCTTTTAGGTCTAAAATATTTTTATAGAAATATATATTATCATAAATATAAAGTAGAATTAATAAAAATAATAAAAGGTCAGCAATTCAAATTACTTTAATGACTCTGCTTTTACACAATCATCAAAAGTTTCATTATTTTTATCATTTGCAATGTCTTGCATA